CCACAGTAAATTGTATATCATTACTAGATCCTATGGACTTTTCAAATTTTTATTTGTTTGCTGGTGTCATACAGCTGAGGTGTCATCATAGACTATCATCAGAGGTAAACAGACTAATTAAGCCAATTATATCAATTCTTCATTCAATAAAAGCTATTATCTAATATTGACCCATGGTATAGAGTTGATAGAATTTTTTAAAGCTTACTCCATCAAAACTTTGTTATTCGGTATCAGCTGAATGAGACGAAAATATAGAAACAAACAAACCGAATAGTGAGTTATTTCGCATTTCATTAAAGTGTGATTAGTATATTCATAATATTTTATGTTGAGTTTTCCTGTGTTTCGGAGATGACTTAGTTCTGTAGATCAGATTTGCAGCGAAACTGTTAAATTAATTTATTCAGCAGGTTAATATAACGTATCTGACATCTGATTTTAATTTGATTTACACAATATTTTAATTGTTTTGATGGTTAGCCAATATTAAAAGACCATTTCGGAAAACCCCATATTCTACAACAGTAACGATGATCAAAGTTAGAAGTGAACTAGAGTCATGACAGTACGCGAGCTTGAGTTGTTTAATCTGCTAGACCATAGGTTTATCAAATAATTAGTGATTATATTCCTACCTAAATAAACCATATAATATATTTATTAAATGATCAGTTTAGTTTTACCTTTTAGAATGTTCTATTTAGAGATCTTTCGTCAAACAATACAAGAATAAGTATAAAAACTTAACTCTTGAGAATCCTTATTCGAATCCATGACTGAATATAAAATCCATTTTGTCGGGTCGGTCAGCAGGTTATTTGAATTAACATTCAATTAACCTCAAATCATCCTGAGTTAAATGAAGTTTATGGGTACAAATAAAGGACAACAATCAAGCAGAAACAAAAAAATAGGAGCATGTAAATCAGTTATATTGGTCATAATTGAAAATCTTAAATGAAGCTTCAATAAGTCAACATTTTGAACAGTAGAGTGAAAAATTCACCGAAAACAAAAAGACACTCATTGCACTTGTCTCTACCCGCTGGATTCCGTCACGTTCACATCATCGTCAGTCATTTGTAATCAACAGAATTTTTTGAAAAGCCCTCTGCAAATTTGAAGTAGTACATTTTATTAGTTTTCTCTATTTCCAACTTTCATCTGTAGAATTATCAATAACACGATCGATCCTTACAGAATCCTACCTGTTGATCTCGAAGTTGGGCGTCTATGGAGTCCTTCATTCTGTTAACAACACTTTGTTGAAGACCTTTCCTGGTATCAAGAGAAGAGTGATGCCTCTGTAGTTATCACAGTTGCTGAGATCGCCTTTCTTTGGTATTTTGACCAGGAGACAAACATCTTACAAGGTAAAAAAGAAACAAAATTCAGTAGAATTCGAAACCTAATAAGAACATCGAAAATCTCTTACCTTCAAATATGAAATTGAGGTTAACTCGAATATAGTATTTCTAAAAACATTGATAATATCCTTAACACTCAATTTTGAAGTTTTTCATCAAGCCATAAAGTTGACTGGTGTCTGATTTAGTTAGCACACAAAACACATCGTTGCTGTTTAGCCATTTATTACAGCGTGTTTATAATTCAGTCAACTTTCACTAAATGATGGTGTTTTATATCAGAGAATATTAACTAACCTGAGCATCAAAATATTAGGAATGGTATTACGAGTTAACCCATAGAATAGCAGCATTTTTTCTGAAGTGGTTAGTCGGAATAATAACAATCTTTAGGTTCATGAGTACACATTTGAAATGACGTATTTAGAGGTGATTCCGATACAAAGTAATCACTTTCACCGACTCATATTTTATTCTATTGTAAGTAATCAAAGTAGTAGCATTTTATGTATTTGATGAATAAAAAACAATGGATTTGTCCAAACGTACTTTATTTGTTATGAATAAATCAAGTACTTCAACAAGCTGGCAATATACAAAAATAAATATTATTAAAATATTTGGATTTGTATTCAAAGTATTCGTCTTTCAGTAAAAACACTATTAAGAGTTTTCATAACAATGACGGCGTTTATCGTCAGAAAGTATTGTAAGAATGAAGCAAAGAGATTTGACGATGCATTTTTTCACCTGAATTTCAATAATATTACATCAACAAAACGTTCTGGAAGTAATATACACGATTAGATTATCGCTCACGAATACCGAATCTCTCAGGTTTTGGAAACCGGATTTTTCGTGAACATTGACACAATATTCGATAATTAAAGTTTACAGAAACTGTTATCACAAATCATTAGTCTTATCGATCCTATTTATTTAAAAAGGACATTGGGTTAAACTAGTTACTAGACGTTAAGATGTAATTCCATCAAAATGTGTTCAACTAAATAATTCATTGTACATAACCTTTAAATACGTAATTCGATAACTTATAGCATGTGTATACATCAGTTGGTTATTCAAAATATTTTTATACTTCAGAACACATTTGTTCATAAAAGGTTTCTCATGCTAGCAAATGAGAATTATTAACACATGGTCATTTATTGTATTACATAATAATTTTCGTGTTAGTAGCAGATGAAGGATGACAATGGAATGACATGTTTTTAAAACATTTTGTGTTTGGATAAATTCTAAATAAAATCACAACATAATGAAACCAGGAAGTCAGTTTAATAAATATTTGGTACATCGTTCAAATTACATTGATAGTCCACATGTATATATACATACTGAAAATTATTCCAAAAACTACTAAGTTTAAATATTTATAATGATATGATAAGACGATGAGATGACCCTAATAGTTTGTGTATTAATCAATTAAGTGTAGTTCTCTTTATACTACTTTCTGGTTATTCATGAATCTAATGTTTCTCGTTTCAGTTCAAGTGAAAAGATTGTTAATCGCATGTACAGTCTTGTTTCTAAGCGCTGTTCCTGAAAGAAGTTGTTTGATGCTTTTAATCAACATTATAAGGTAACTAAATGTCTGTAATTTGTGGATCGTATAAAGTAGCAACGATTATTGAATCAATGGTGACTAATAATTAAAATAACATTCAATTACTGAAAATCACTATTTGAACAAATATTCATTAAAAATATACGAACTAATACGTTAAATAATAACCATTTGCGTTTTAAAACTATTTTTTCTTGCATGGGATAGGATGCCTACTCGTGAACTCATAACGTATCTGCTTCTCAATGTTGATTATTTCTGCAATATCTAGCAATTTTCCATCAGCTTAGTGGATGACTAATGCATATAAGAGCATAATTTTCACCATAGGTTTCACTTCAAGCTCTCACTTTCACGTTCTTTGCTTTGTTCATTCGGCAGGTTAGGATACGCTAAAGTGGGATATTTACAAAAGATATATCTAAATGGTTTTAGGTGATTACACTAAAGTCAACTATGAAAATTACATTCTGATATGCGTTGGTGGCAGACTAAATGAACGAAAACAATACTTACGAATGCTAGATATCTCCATTTTATTGAACAGTAAGGGGATGGTTATATCCGCATATGTTTTCTGGTACCTTATTTCAAAAACTTGCAAATGTTGCGAAAATGTTCTACAGCTACACTTTAAAATGAGTAGTGACACTAATTGAGTTCTACGAAAGGTCTTTTAAACCTATCGTCATTTTATTTTATTTCGTTATGAAATGAATGTTTCAGTCCATTGAATTTATAATAGTAATTATAAAATATGTACTAACGTATTTATCAATTTTTAACCGTGATAACAGTAATTATGCAGTCAAAATTATCGGAGAGGAATATATCAGTACTTTTGATTTGTAATGACCTACTTTTATCAAGAGAACGCGATTGGTTTAATGGAAACAATTGTTATTATAATCAATTGTACCAGTGATTGTTTTACTGTACTTGTTTGTTTAACTGTACTAAAGACATCCATGATTCTTCTATTCTTCCTTCCGTTGATTGTGACCTTGCACGAATTCAGTTGTGCTCAGTAACCGCACTTGTACTCCTTTGGCACGATCTCGGTATTATTTCAATAGCACGAGATCGCCCATAAATACATGTCGACTACAGCCATCAACTGCCTTCTGATATTTGACCTACGGGGGATCTTATCGGTTAACTGGCACGTAGTCTTCCTGCAGTGGTTATCATAGTCAACCGCAACTCGACGCCACACTACAGACTTTTGACTTCTGGTAAACTGTTTGTTACAGTTGTGCACGTGGTTGATCATACCAATGAGTGTTATGAAGGAGTATCTTAGTGATTTAATGAGCGGAATTTTCGATTATTAAAATAGATGAAAATAATGTTAGTCGGTGGATGACAATCAGTGATACCATACCACCGACTAACGGCTGTTAACAAATCATATTATTGGTAAAAAGAAATCACAGTGTTTTGAAGTTGAATATAAGAAGAAAGGCAGAAGGATAGAAATTTTATGTAGTAAGATAACATGCTTTTATGCAAGACACTTAAAAAATAAGCATGATGAAATGTCATAGAGGGTTGAAGAAATCTCGTCTGTTGATTGCTCACACTTCAATCAATTGGGATCTGGTTATTGTGTCTATTCATTGTGAAACTGATCAGTGTGATCTAAAATAATGTTTTTTAGGCATAGGTGGGTGATGGCTAGGAGTGTGATTCAGGACGGCGGTTTTCTTCTTATATGGGGGGGCTTGTCGGCTAGGTGTACCTCCATCATAGATCTCACGCTAACTCCGGGACTGAAACTTAGTACCTTTTGCTTCACACGCCATCACGTTATCCACTATATGAACTTTACTTAACTATGAATGATCGTGTTCAGAAATGTAATGATGGGCTTGCCTAGTTGTAGCCCGATGTAACGAATTTCAGTTAATGTTTAAAGTATCTGTCTTTATAATACCCTCCTCCTGTATAGCCAACTTAACAGTTTATCTTATCATATTATTAATAGTATTATTAATGTTGTTAAATTCGATCAGTAACATGATTTTCATATTTTACCAATGTATTATCATCAAACCAAAAGTTTTTTTTCACAAACTACAGATAAGGTTGGGCTTGATTTTAAGTGAAATCACATATATTTCTATGTCATCTCTTAAATATAAGTAGGTTGATCATACTATCTGTTCTGTAATTGGTTATTTAGTTAGTGATTTAGTGACTGTTTACATAGATAAGTGTGCGTGCATTTCAGGTTTATGTGCTGGAATTTTTTAACATTTAATCTAGTGGATTACCTATAATGCTGCTGTACATATATATCTTGTTATTTATAACAAATGTAAAAGGATCAGGAAGTAGGTTACTATGTAGTTTATGATTTTCGTGATTTACAAGTGTGAAATGCCCTTCAAAATTTATCTATCATCTCACTTATCTTATGAAAAAAATGTTTTTTTTTATCATATGACTTAAATCACTTTGATAGAGATTTTAAAGAGTGATAACCCAATTCTGTTTATTCTGTAGATTACTTAGAAATAGGCGATGTTTGTGAGCTAATTTGAACAATTTCAGGGGTTGAAATTCCCTTCTTAGATGTTTGTTCATTTGAATGTATCAAGTGTTTCTTGACGGGACTATAATTATGGACGAACCAATCAGATTTAAGATAATAGGTATCGGAATGCAGAACGAAATTTATCCTCTCATTTGGCTAAATATTATTTCGGCATTATAGTTGATGTCACTTTGTGTTGAAAGCATTAAATTTAATTCTTAATCCTAACCATCAATTGTAAATCATAATTCTAATTCCTCACACTGGTTTATAACCCTCATTTAGTCGTAGTTATTGAGTGGACATTCTCAAAGTCACTTTAGCGTCGCTCAAAGGTCATCCATGAATTATAGTCTCACCTGTTTTTTATTTATAGAAAACAAGTTCATTGACCATTGGTTATTACAATTTATTAAAGTAAGATTTAAATGTCTTTCCTTAATACAACTTGCATATTGGATTCATCTAATAGAATGGACGTAAATGATGCGACTTATAGCTTTTACTTTCTAAATTTAAAATTTTAGTTTTTTCCGATTTCTTATCGACTTACAAACTAAATGAACCTACCGGTATTTTCCCTATTATTTCATTAACTAAAAAAAGAATATCTCAGTTGAAGGGTCTGTGTCTATTGAAATGAACATTTTCCTGTGACTACGATATCCCAGAAAAATGTAATATAATATTGTAATTACATTATTTTCATGTCATGTTTGATAGAGAATATATAACGATCACTGAATAAGATTTATAAGATTTAAAGTGCTACAGAATTCCATAAAATGTTCATTTCCGTTCGTCTTGGATACGATTACATTCGTTTAATTGGTAATCGTTAAAAGGTGTATTATGTAACACTACCTGATTTTATGCTACATGACTGAACTTCATTTTAGGATACTTTATATGTGTTAGTATATATTACCCATCATAAATTCTAAAAAACAAGTATTTATAGAATAGTTCAGATGTTAAGAGACGGTAAAAATGGTAAGACAATTTAATTATAAATCATATTGTGTTTAACGCAAGGATCCCTCTAGGGTTTTCATACTCATTAGAGTAAAATAATTTTCTGTAAGATATTGTTTTCATTTATTAGTACAGTGGTGTTTGTTTGTCTACTTTCATAATAAGACACTTTATTATGTAAAATTATTGATAACGGTTAGATTTCAATAAAATATCGGGTTAAGGTTGATGAATTAATTTTAGGTTTACGTATGTATTGCCGGTTCAAGCGAATAAATTCTATGGTTAAAATAAACAAACTGTGAATGTAAATGATTTATCGGGTTATTATGTACATAATATTTATTTTTAGGAACTCTTCAATGCTTCAAGAATGTTTACAGTATAGCCAGTTTTATTGGTCCGCAGTATTTGGAAATGTGTATTTCACAAAGCATGGCTCAAGTCTTACAGTAACTGGATATTTATCAGGTTTTCCGCGAAATAAATGGTTGGGTGTTCATATACATGAATATGGTGCATTAGGTAATGAATGTAATGACGCCGGACCACATTTTAATCCGTTTAACAGGTAAACATTAAATTGAAAAATTCTTTAATAAAGGCTACATGAAATATCATAACTGCACACTTATTATCTGAATATAATTCCAAAAGAATATATCATCTCTGTAGACATCATTGAAATATTCACTTGGATTACTCAAATGACAATATCTTCGAGTTAAAACAACTTTTGATCAAATTAAAAAGATGAAAAGAGATAGCTCATTTTTATTATTAACGATAAATATCTATACTGAATAAGTTATTTAGTCTGAACCAGTGATTTGATTGTCGAATTATTCCAATCATTATTCTTAGGTATAAGCTTTCTAAAATTTATTTGAACTCATTAATGTGTATTATTAATGATAATGATAAAATAAACTCTTTTTGAGGTTCAGACCAATGGTAATCATTATATCATCATTTCATCTCGTAATACATAAAGATAAGCAGTAATTAAAGAAACGGAGAATAAATGAAAAAAAAACACATCAACAACTCAAAATAAAGTTGATATTGTGGAATCTATGTGTTTTAGTTTAGGATGCCTTTCTTTAGTTCAGAAGGTAATTTCATCTAAAGTGGATAAAATAAATTCAGATAAATTGTTTATAGATTTAGATTTAAACAAGCGTTATCTTACAGTAGACATTTACTTAAACAATACCACAAAATATCTAATATATTTCTTATAGAAATGATTTTCTATCTCATATGAAGCAAAAATCAGAGAAACTTTAATGTCTTAATTTCAATAAGTGAATATTTAGAATAATAGTATAAATGATTTAACCAACTTGTCATTGAAAACAAGCTAAAAACAACAAATGAACTTAGTATGTTTCAACAATATTATGAAATCTGGAATCATACTAATTACAAATGGATGATGATTTTTTTAATATTTGACATTGTTGTTCACTCATACTAAAGTTATTACGTAATCATTTTCAGTGACCATGGTGGACTAACAGGTTCACCAAGACATCCTGGAGATTTTGGAAATCATTATGTAGATCAAAATGGTATTTTGACTCTTGATTTCGATGTTGATATTTCTTCTATTACTAAATTTAATGGATTTATTGGAAGATCACTGGTTATCCATGAGAAAGAAGATGACTTAGGCAGAATGGATGATGATGGAAGTCGCAAGACAGGCAATTCCGGCAAACGTTTAACATGTGCTGTAGTTGGTGTTTGGAAAGCTCCATAAACTAGTTTTGGATCATTTTTCATATTTATTTACAGTAAGACAAATTCAAAATGAATTTTTATTTACCTAAATCTAATTCTATCAAACTCTATTGATATATGGTTTTAAAAGTTTTTGTGTTGGTTCATTCATTTGTTGAGCAAATCCAACTAGTATTAAACGTTGGACAGTTGATAGTAGCAATAAAGTTATTCCTAGTTTTATTACACATTATTTATGGTTGGTCTAGGGTTAGTGAGTATTGCGGAAGTATTGATATTATATTCATTTTGTTTTCGTTGTACTATTTAAACTTTGATTAATTTTGACTTGGTTATTTTTTTCCGAAGAAGTGACTTACACTGAGTCACGAAACGTCAAAAAATTTAATTCTTCTACTCATTGAGATATTACAAATATATTAATTTATTTATAACTCATATTACTGTTTTAAACTATTTAGTATGCATCATTCCTAATTCTTAGATGAAAAGCTGCTTCCTAAAAATACTTTCTAGTATTGTGAATCATTTCAAGTCACATGTTTACTCAACGTGTTTTCATATTTTCAATAAAATTAGTTCAATGTGACTTGTTAAAAAAGATAGTGTCTTTCAGAAACTGAACTCTGTAAAAAGAAACAATAGACCACCTACTTCTATAGCATTCAAAGACGATACCATGAAAGAAGCTTAAAATAAGTTATTTGTTTAATATCAATTGAAGTTCTTATAGAGATCCTGTTTATTTTTATTGATTACTTTACGTGTAAATAGTTAGAAACTTTAGATGAACGGCTTGATCATAAATTGTTGATCTAACAAGGAATTCAGCACAAAAAGACATATCTAGATGTGCATAATTACTTTTTTTGTAATTTAATCTTAATGCCATTAAGAATGCATTACTAAAATTTTGGTCACATGTCGGTATCTATTTTCTTATAGTACGGCAGATTGTAGAGAATAATGCACAGATTAATGTGGTGTATAATAGAAGATTACAACAATCAACACTGATTGAATAATGTGTTATGAATTGTTTGCCTCATTCAGACAGCCATTTCTAGTACGCTTCTACCTCTGATTCTGAATAGTATTGCAAATAGTAGATTCTCAGACTATGTATTCAATTTTGATGGTAGTTGCCAGTTATTTATACGAAAGTACTCATCGAACAAAGATTAGATAGATCATGCTCCCGTTGGAACATTTTATAAGTAGAGTTGATATTGTTCTTCAGAGAAATAAATCAGGAGTAATCTGCTTCAAACTTATAAGAATGTTTGGGATGGATAAAGCGTGATTTAGTTGTAAGCTACGCCAATATTTAGAACGATAAGTTCAGTTATTTTGCAAACTTTAAAAGCGCAAGCATCTTGAAAAGTACGCATACTTTCATTATTCGGTTTTCTTTTACTTAGCTTTGAATTTCTAAAACTACAGTGTCCTATGATTAGAATGTCATTCTGTGTTGGCGATTGATGCTTAAATAATTCCGTGCCTTCTATATTGATGAAACAGTTGCATGACAGAAATAGCTAACTGAAAACAAACATCAATATGAAATATTAATTCATAGTAATCTTCTATATAGTAGTTAATAGAATTCACTCATTCTCACGGAAATTCGAAAACGCATTCATTAAAAGTGAATGTATAAAATCTGTATTTATTATTATCAACATTTTTCAACTTAGCAAAAATAGTCCAAATTGTATCGCTCTAAATACCTTTGAATAGATATTTCAGAAATTTGAAAATGAGTTTATCTAATGAGAAATGAATTAAGACTAACTTTAACTTATGTGAAACCTGTGCAAAAACCGACTATCAGCTTCAATTCAGAATAAAAATCAATTAATTAAATTTTTGATTGATGTTTGATTTGTCTTCATCATGCAATTAATTATTGTTTTTCACTATTCTTTACTGTAGTTACTAAAATTTGCACTGACATGTGACTAGGAACGAGTCAATATTTAGATTATTCTTTCACATATACAGCTATAATGTAAAGTTGAGCTGAAGAAAATTTTTGCCAATTTATTTCAAATTTAGATTATAACCCTTTGAAGCCTTTTACAAGACTGTGAGCAGAATAAACATGCCAGTGGTAGATTAACATCGCTGATGACTCTTCTTAGTTGATTACATGATTAGTTAGCTGTATACAGGGAATTTCTTTTTAAATAAATATCATCTCAAAAGCTTATCTGACCAAAATATCTATCTGCTGATTTGTGTTAAAACATTTGATTACTTAGGGTAATAATTCACTGAACCAAAATGATAAAAACATTTGAAAAACTATTCAAGTCTTATTTTCCTTCATATTCAATCAATAATTACGACGATATTGACGTTTGTAATTTGAAGTGTCAATAGTTATTGTTATTTGTTGTTTATTTATTATAAACACACTTTTTCTGAGTACTTGAAAGTAAAAGCAAATTCGTTAAAACATCGTATTGCTCTTGTTAGAAATCATGTGTATGATTTAAAAATAAATAAAATGCATAATACAAGTTCATACAAGAACATCAACCACAATCGTAAAATAACCATGCTAAGTTTAATAAAGAAATTAAACTTTTAATCTGTTAGAGGAGCACTCAAAACTAGCTTTATAATTTTTCTTGGTCAAACTTTTGTCGAATTTTTCGATCAAAGTGATAATCAAGCAATATCAGTTAAAGTGATATTTTTTTAGTTTTGTCATTTCGTTACGCTATGTCCATTCTAACCAATTTAGAGAATTGTATGATACTACACGAAAGTATGTTGATTAAGTGCTAATCACACTATTCATTTCATCAAATGTACTAAGATCAAACTTTACTCCAGTAATGTCTTGATATTTTGTTCTCGGTGCACTTCACAAAGTCCTGGAGTCGTCTGATAACTTTTTGTTTGCGTTTTGTCAAACAAATGATTATTTTACTGACTGTCATGTAAATAAGTGTGTATATTTATTAAAGTACGATTTAACTGTATCATTGGCAGTTACATCGATTTGTGACTTGCTCTATATCGTAAAATAAATTAGTGACAAATAGGGAATTGTGGTGGACCAGACAAATATGAACGCAAAAAGTATAAACCAAGTTACTAAAGATAAATAGTAATATTAATATATACAGTTAACTGTTACAAATACAATAAAAATTAGGGACGTTACTTAAATTGTCCAAACGTTGCGTGTTCTGATTAGGTCCAGTAATGTAAATCCACAATTATAAATGCTTGATGACTCTGAGCAGGTTGGCGAACTCTCTAGCGATATAGTCCAACGTAGAATGTGATATATATTCCGATTATAGTCTATAAATGTAGATAGTATTTGATTTAGACTTCCGTTAACTCAATCACAAATGGAAATAGAACGAGGGATGCGAGAGTAGTAATGTATTTGTTAACCAGCAAGAATGTCACGCTATGTAATAGCTCAACGGAAAGTGTGTTCAAGGTCATTTACTAAAACAACATGTACAGTCATTAAATGATAAATGTACATACAGTGAAAAATTGACAAACAAATACAAATAATATTAAAAACTATTTACAAAATAAGCTTGTCAGTCATATCTCCACAGAATGTTAGAAACCTTGAGAAATTGAACATTAAGAAGGACAAGTATATTATCTTTACAACTTCATTGCACATTGATATGACCTCTCTTATTACGATGCAGCTAATCCTATTTTCTCATTTTTTCGGAAACCTTACTTCTCTCGACAAATCCTTGAATCAGAACACGGCTGGACAGGAACGTAATTTTACTCCAAAGGTTGAATAAAAGTAGGAATCACAATAAGCAAAACATTAGCATATATATAAGTTTTACACAAGAAGATTCTGGAGTCTTGTCCAAGTATCCATTAGCTCCGATTGACTAAGAAATGACAAATCAGCGTACCCCAACTCAATCCAATCTCTTTCCCGCTAACACACATAATTTAAACATTCGATAGATTCTATGATATCATCGTTTTTTTATGAACAACAAAGCCATAGGCTCTTAAGAAATCAGATGGTAAACTCCCTCTAGAACTTATATCAAGAAGGTGGTTTAAAAAATCTTTTTTACTTTGAGTTCGTTTTTCAAGAAAACTAGTGATTTATAGTATTTAATTTATAGTATTAGAACGAATAGTTTGACAAAAATTGGGTTCCGAGTATAGAAAAGACATTGTATGTAAAAACTGTATTTCAGATAATCTCAGCGCTTGAAGTTCAAATAATTTCAATGTGTTTTCTAGCAAGCTTGTCTTGACGTCTTCAGGGTAGAAGTCCAGACGAGTTTGCTAGACAAAACGTTGGAATTATATAAACTTCAATCGCTGAGATTATTTCAAATATAATTTTCACATATCAAACTAGTTATCTGCTTGCTAAAATAGATGCTTTGCGTGAATATCAACTTTAAAGAAGATATACCTAATGTTAACAAAATACTTCAAATTTTTTCAAAAGAGCGTTCTTTGGATTAACCATGAGGTCAGTGTTCACAAGTTTACCTGTGATTCCTAATAATCTAAAAAACAAGTTTACTTATCCGACTACTTTGATACGTATTCATCAATTCATCTGTTCCAACAGAGTTGAGTACATTAGTTGTTTAATGATAATTCTATCCAGCACGTTGATGAACAATATTCTATATGATTAAAAGTAGAGAGCAGTGGTTTATGTAAGCAATGATGGATAGTGGCTAGCAGTGGAATCCAGGACGCGCGTTCCGTCCTATTTGGGGCTCGTCAGCTGGATGTAACTGCATCACCGAGTTGATGTTCACTCTGGGACTCGAACCTAGTACCATTCGCTTGAAACTCCATTGCGTTATCCACTCAGCTACTGAGTTCTCATAGCCACTTGCTTGTGCAATGGGGTGAATTCGAATTCACTTGATATTGTCTTTTACTTGTATCTTCCCATTGAGGTTTAACACTGCAATTGATCAGTCTGTTATTGGCATATGTGCATACTGTGCGTATGCCTCGATATTGCCTGAATTCACAAGCTATTTGTAAGCAATGATGGATAGTGGCTAGCAGTGGAATCCAGTTTGACGCGCGTTTCGTCCTATTTGTGGCTCGTCAGCTGAATGTAACTGCATCTCAGAGTTGATGTTCACTCTGGAACTCGAACCCAGTACCATTCGCTTGAAACGCCATCGCGTGATCCACTCAGCTACTGAGTTCTCATAGCCACTTGCTTGTGCAATGTGGTGAATTTGAATTCACCTGATATTGTCTTTTACTTGTATCTTCCCATTGAGGTTTAACACTGCAATTGATCAGTCTGTTATTGGCATATGTGCATACTGTGCGTATGCCTTGATATTGCCTTAGTTCACAAGCTTTTTGTAAGCAATGATGATAGCAATGAAGATAGCAGTGGGTTTACAGGAAGTTTCATAATAGAATACTTAGTGAGCATAGGTCATTCAAATAAAGCATACCCGCTATTCACAGTCGTCTAAAAGGTGAATAAACGTCACCCGAAGATAGCGTACTTTCGTGCTTCTTCCGTTGCTAACGCCTTTGTCACATATGAAGAGAACCATATATAAACCTTATATAAAGCAGAGAAATATATTTAGTCTCTTCTGTCATGTTTTTAAAATCTATTTTCCTCTCTCTCCTCCTAGTGTATTGACTTCTTCACCAAAACAAGTTAATCGCATCATAATGAACTTTCTGAAAGTATTTTCATATTAGGAATTCATTTTACCATTTCATTCAACCGATTTTCACAATTATTAGTCTTTATCTAATTTCTATAAAAATGTTAATTAATTTTCAAGCTTTTAACAACTAGATTTTTAATCTCTTAATAAGACTAAGATTTATAAGCAAAGATGGATAGTGGCTAGCAGTGGAATCCAGTTTGACGCGCGTTTTGTTGTATTTGGAACTCATCAGCTGAATGTACCTGCATCACAGAGTTGATATTCACTCTGGGAATCGAACCCAGTACCGTTCGCTTCAGGATTCAGTAGCTTGATGGATAACGCGATGGCGTTTGAAGCGAACGGTACTCGGTTCTTCTTCTTCCATGATGTTATCAAACTACCTGTGGTAAATTTTTATGAAGTACAGAATGCAAAGAAAATATCCTGTAGAAAAGATAAAAAAGTTTATAATGGCATGAAACATTTGAATAATTTAAAATATTAATAAGTAATACTTATCAATAGGGAACATTTATTAGAGTTGCTATGTTAAAGTCACATATTTTTCTTGTTTCATTCACAATTTCTCCTAGAGAGAAATTGATGATAACACTAATCAAATAAATGATACATATTTTTCCGTAAATCTATTCACATGCTGGTCTCAGTTCGATTACCAGGAAGAACTAGATAGTTGTTTCGTCCTAGCACAGGAAGTTGCAAAAGCAGCATCCTAGATCGGACCATAAATGAAACCCATGGCCTTAGATACCTTTGTGAGTGTTTAACCTTTAGAGCATTAAGCCAGAATTTAACGATGTTTACATATGGCTTTAACCATTTCACCAAATTACTCCACCATCTATTGTCTGCAGCTTCTCACTGCATTTCTTGAAACTGCCTCTCGAAATGGGTGGCTAGTGAGCACATGATTATTGTTGGTGTTGGGTTATGTTGTACATTATTGCGTTTTCATAGATTGCTTCAATGAATGACAGAAGTTAAAAACGTACACCAGTGGATGCTGTTAAAATTGTTTAGAGTCTACGAAATTACCGAGCGATCGAAGTCTTTGGGTTCAATTCTCCGTGGGAGGTTCATTAGTAAACACTGTTGACGAGTTCCATACTAAGACTAAAAATCCGTTCGAAGCTTCCTGATGGCCTAACTAAAGTTAATCCGTGATACCATATGATAATATTAAAAACTTTCCGCAAACGCTCCGTACTAATGATACACACATATACAACTTTCGTAATGAGATTAATATTGTACTTTGTTATGCCTCTAATTATTTAGTTAAGAAAAATATGCAAAAATCTTTTTTCTTACCTATAGTCATAGTGATTAAATGTGTTTCCAATAAGTATAGAAACAGTTTGATTTGTTGCGATTGTTGAACACAACACATTTGTTTTATTTTAATTTAGTACATATGGCTACGGAATTCATTGAAATAAGTTATTTATACTAATTTATATTGTTCGTCACTGGAAATGAATTCATTTGTCATTTCTAGTCTATAATTCATATATTTCTCTGTTATTTTGTGCAATACAAATTTTTTAATAGATGTCATTTCAAGGTCAAAAGTTTTGAAAAATACCCACAAATAATCTATCATGTACGATACTGGATACTGAGTAATTTACTATTAATTATTCTTATATACATTACGCATTCGTCATCAAAAACACTAAGAATACCCACACAAAACCTTCTTTTGTTCT